AACATATTACACTACACTAATATACCACATTTCTGTCCTTGGTGTCCATTGCTGGATTATTTGTTTAATAAAATGTATCTTTGTGATCAAAAAATACAAATTAAGTCTAAGTTCAGTTATAATCCATCAAAATATTCAAGCAATAACCCCCCGTCGAAGCAGGTATACCACAAGATATTCAAGTGGTATATCCAACTTCGGCAGGGGGTTGTTGCTATTATATTATAGCAGTATATTGACAATTCAATAAAACTAGGAAAAAAAGAGTTTACTTTCATCTACTAAAAGATCATGATTATGGCCCTTGAACATGAATATTTATAAGAATAGTATGTAGTTGTACGCTGAATACATACAAAAATTACATGTGCAACACATTTCAAATTGAATACAAACTAATTTTTATTTCGCATGAAAACAAAACGTATCCACGGCGAATAGAGCAGCATAATACAAAAATTAGCATAACAAAATATTGACCTTTCTGACGTTTTACTGACTGCGTCAACGCCATTTGAAATACAGGGTCGTGTACAGTTTGGATCATTAAAACAACAGATTTTTCACGTTTTCATTTCGGTTTTTGTAAATTTTGGATTGTAATAAACCCATTAAAAGTATAGTTGTGAGATAAACCGGTTTTGTGACTCATCATACTACTTGTATCTGTGGATATTTGACGTTCAGCGGTACTTGGTTCGACCAAGATTTGAGAGACGCGGCGGGAGGCAGTGTATCACTGGCACTTACCCAGGTGCAATTTCACTGCAATTTTGTCAGCTATAGAATTCAAACGCCGCTACGGGACACCGGTTGTTATTGTTTGCATACATTTTTACCTGTGACTCATAGTTTTTTGCATTTTTTTTGTCCTTCAATCCCTCAATCTTATCTAGTATTTAACGATCATGTTTACTTTGATGGAGATTTGTAATCCATCTCAAAGTCACAACACGGAGAGCACAGCGTTCTGGCATTTGTTTAAGCACCTCACGGTGTTGAGGGACAGTGGTTTAGGTTTGTGTGACGAATGACAATCACCCAACGACCGACGCTCCATTGCATCCCACCATTAACAAGCAGCCGGTCGGCTGAGATAGCTCCGCTGTTAGCAAGGCACATTTCAATTAAAGAACTGAAGATATCATTAGAAAATGAACAATACGTATAGTATCAAAGCAATGGGACTTGCTGTTTTCAACAAGGAGTCAAAAATATCACTTTTCACCAACAATGACAAAAATATTCACCAAAATTAGAGAATTGAAGATATCATTACAAAATGAACAAATCTGAGAGAAGTCCACATGTAGTACCTATATATGTAATATCAAAGCAATTGGACTTGCGGTTTTTAACTAAAAGTTGAAAATGTCACTTTTTACCAAAAATGACAAAAATATTCACCAAAAGTAGAGAATTGAAGATATCAACATGAAATGAACAAACCTAAGAGAGGTCTACCCAAGGTACATATACACCAAGTATCAAAGCATTCAGGCTTGTAGTTTTCAAGAAGAAGTCGAAAAAGGTAAAATATTGACACGGACGACAGACAATTACTCATATGATAAGCTCCGCTCGACAAAGTCGACAGCGGAGCTAAATATCACTTTTTACCAAAAATGACATAAATTTTCATCAAAATTAGATAATTCAAGATATCATCACGAAATGAACAAATCTGAGAAAGGTTCACATGTAGTAACTATATAAGTAATATCAAAGCAATTGGACTTGCGGTTTTTAACAAGAAGTCGAAAATATCACTTTTTACCAAAAATTACAAAAATATTCACCAAAATTAGAGAATTTAAGATATCATCACGAAATGAACAAATCTGAGAAAGGTCCACATGTAGTACTATACATGTATATGTAATATCGAAGCAATTTGATTTTTGGTTTTTAACAAGAAGTCGAAAATATAACTTTTTACCAAAAATGACAAAAATATTCACCAAAACTAGAGAATTAAAGATATCATTACAAAATGAACAAATCTGAGAGAGGTCCACATGTAGTACCTATATATGTAATATCAAAGCAATTGCACTTGCGGTTTATAACAAGAAGTCGAAAATATCACTTTTTACCAAAAATGACAAAAATATTCACCAAAATTAGGGAATTTAAGATATCATCACGAAATGAACAAATCTAAGAGAAGTCTACCCCAGGTACATATACACCAAGTATCAAAGCATTCAGGCTTGTAGTTATCAAGAAGAAGTCAAAAAAGTAAAACATTGACACGAACGATGACGACGGACAATCACTCATATGATAAGCTCCGCTCGACAAAGTCGACAGCAGAGCTAACAAAAAGCCATATTATGGTTATATAATTATTCAGATGTTTTTAATTCGGTAATTTTTTCAATATTTTTCAAAATTCAACCACTATATTTCCCTAAAAATCAAATAATACTGGTTTTATGTATTCCCGTATATTCCGTGTAGTTAATTCATGTTCCAGAGCCACTTGGTTTATCATCCAATATACCATTAATTGCATATGCAAATTTTGCGTTTGGACCAATCAAATCAATGGATTAAACCAACAATATACTGGTATAATATAATACTGAATAATTCATATATATTATGAATGGTGAAAATTCACCAAAAGCTAGCACAGTAGATGTATTCAAGTTTATGACAATTGATCAGCAAGGTACAATATAAACTCCAATCACACTATTATTTCTCCTAGCAGTTTTGACCAAAAGCCAAAAAAATCAAAAATATTGAAAAATAATGTAAGCTTTATCAAAGATGAAATCCAAAATATAAACAAAAATGTTATTTATCATTATAGATAGATAGATAGATAGATAGATAGATAGAACTATTGAAAAATTGTAAAATTGACAATTAGAAAAAAAAAATACCGTAGTTAAGAATCGTCAATTGTGGAAACAAATGGACAAAATGTATCTATAAATTTTGAATGGGAGTGGTCCAGGCATGTCAAGGATACAGGTGGAAATGCACGCATTCACAGTTACTAGGGGTTACTAGGGGTTAATACAAACAGGTACTAAAAGTACCTACTTTTTTCTTTTCTTTCTGTTTTTTAACTTCTTCATCATCCAGATCAGCAGCTTCATCTTCATCACTGACATTACCATCACTTGCATCAGCTTTCAATTTCTTACCCTGAATAATCAATTATGACAACCACATCTTTACAAATGTTAATAGAGAACATGTCTGTTTATGTTATTATAAAACTGTCTGGAATATGTTTTTATTTTAGATATGTTAATAATTTGTAGAAATCTGAAAAATGGAGAATAAATTATAAATAACTCAAGCGAAAAGTTATTAGAAAATTCCATCATGTGTGATTTAGCATTATATTAGTAGTTTGGGATGACATGAAGCTACAGATGTGAATTATTCAAATACAGTCTGCATGCACATGACATACAGAATGATAATTTCATTTGTAAATA